TTGTTGAATTAGGCTATAATCTATCCTCCTCCCTCACCTTCTCGTGGATGACTAGCATGGAGCTAGTTTAACTTGTTGAAATAGGCTATAATCTATCCCCTTTAGGTGACGTTTTCTCCAGTTTCCTCACCTTCTCGTGTATGGAGCTAGCTTAACTTGTTGAAATAGGCTATAATCTATCCCCTTTAGGTGTTTCCTCACCTTTTCGTGGATGGAGCTAGCTTAACTTGTTGAAATGGGTTTAAATACAGTTTCCTCACCTTCTCGTGGATGGAGCTAGTTTAACTTGTTGAAATAGGCTATAATCTATCCCCTTTAGGTGACGTTTTCTCCTGTTTCCTCACCTTCTCGTGTATGGAGCTAGCTTAACTTGTTGAAATAAGGTATAATCTGTCTCCTTTAGGTGATGTTTGGAGCTATCTTAACTTGTTAAAATAGGGTATAATCTGTCCCCTTTAGGTGACGTTTGCTGGTGTTTCCTCACCTTCTCGTGGATGGAGCTAGCTTAACTTGTTGAAATAGGATGCAGCTAGCTTAACTTGTTGAAATAGGGTATAATCTATCCCCTTTAGGTGTTTCTTCACCTTTTCGTGTATGGCTAGCATGGAGCTAGCTTAACTTGTTGAAATAGGTTTAAATACAGTTTCCTCACCTTCTCGTGGATGGAGCTAGCTTAACTTGTTGAAATAGGTTTAAATACAGTTTCCTCACCTTCTCGTGGATGGAGCTAGCTTAACTTGTTAAAATAGGGTATAATCTGTCTCCTTTAGGTTTGGATGGAGCTAGCTTAACTTGTTGAAATAGGCTATAATCTATCCCCTTTAGGTGTTTCCTCACCTTTTCGTGTATGGAGCTAGCTTAACTTGTTGAAATAGGCTATAATCTATCCCCTTTAGGTGACGTTTTCTGCTGTTTCCTCACCTTTTCGTGGATGGAGCTATCTTAACTTGTTGAAATAAGGTATAATCTGTCTCCTTTAGGTGATGTTTGGAGCTATCTTAACTTGTTAAAATAGGGTATAATCTGTCCCCTTTAGGTGACGTTTGCTGGTGTTTCCTCACCTTTTCGTGGATGGAGCTAGCTTTCCTTTAGGTTTAAATGCATCTTAATTTGTTGAATTAGGGTATAATCTATCCTCCCTCACCTTCTCGTGTATGGAGCTAGCTTAACTTGTTGAAATAGGCTATAATCTATCCCCTTTAGGTGACGTTTTCTCCTGTTTCCTCACCTTCTCGTGGATGGAGCTAGCTTAACTTGTTGAAATAGGGTATAATATATCTCCTTTAGGTGATGTTTGGAGCTAGCTTAACTTGTTGAAATAGGTTTAAATACAGTTTCCTGACCTTCTCGTGTATGGAGCTAGCTTAACTTGTTGAAATAGGCTATAATCTATCCTCCCTCACCTTTTCGTGGATGGAGCTAGCTTAACTTGTTGAAATAGGGTATAATCTGTCTCCTTTAGGTGATGTTTGGAGCTAGCTTAACTTGTTGAAATAAGGTATAATCTATCCTCCCTCACCTTCTCGTGGATGGAGCTAGCTTAACTTGTTGAAATAGGCTATAATCTATCCTCCCTCACCTTCTCGTGGATGGAGCTAGCT